TAGAGTGGGGAAGTTATTTCTAAGAAAGATATCAAAAACAGGCAAAATAAAAGAAAAGATGCATAAATTTGAAAGCATACATATTTATAACTTCCATAGCAAGCTATAAACTGGGAGGAAATTTATAATATACATAATCAGAAAAAGTTAATAATCATGATAAACTATGGGTTTTTATAAATTTATAAGATGAAAATAAATACCCAAGATAAAAAAAAATGGGCAAAGGATTAAATAGTTCATTACACACACACACACACACACACACACACACACAAATAGCCGATATACATTTGGGAAAAAACTTTATGCTTCCTAAGCTCTAGTTTGAAAAGATACATACACCCCAATGTTCACAGCAGCACTATTTACAATAGCCAAGACATGGAAACAACTTAAATGTCCATCAACAGATGGCTGGATAAAGAAGTTGTGGTATATTTATACAAGCAACATGGATGGACCTGGAGATCATCATACTAAGTAAAGTAAGCCAGAAAGAGAAAGAAAAATACCATATGAGATCACTTATATGTGGAATCTTAAAAAAAGACACAAATGAGCTTATTTACAAGACAGAAACAGACTCACAGTCATAGAAAACAAACTTATGGTTACCAAGGGGGAAAGGGGCTGGGAAGGGATAAATTGGGAGTTTGAGATTTGCAGATACTAACTACTATATATAAAATAGATAAACAACAAATTCCTACTGTATAGCACAGGGAACTATATCTTGTAGTAACTTATGGTGAAAAAGAATATGAAAACAAATATATGTATATATATGTATGACTGAAACATTATGCTGTACACCAGAAACTGACACAACATTGTAAACTGACTATACTTCAAAAAGAAAAGTTCATCCTTCCTAATTATCAGAGAGCTGAACTTAAAACAAGATACTGTTATTTGTTATCGGTTTGCAAAAAGGAGTGGCATTCTTGTGCATTGCTGGTGAAAATATCTCCACCTTACCAAAGAACAGCTAGGCCGTTATGTCCTCCAAAGCCATTGAGAAGCACCCTTTTCATCCAGGGGTCTAGTCCCAGAAATATATTTATGAAGAAGGTATGAAATGTAAGTATAATGGTGCAGAAAGCACCCACAAATATAGAGAAGAAATCAGATCAAGGGCAGAGATGTCCTCTAGGTCTATACTCATATGTCAGTTCTGAATTACTTATCATAGCATTTACTTACAGTAATATTTACCCATAGGTTTTAGCAGTGGCTGCCTTTTCGTAGCATAAAAATATTTCACATTGTATATTGTATTCTGCTAGAGGACTGGAGAGTTCACCAAAGCAAGAATTGGTTGCAACGGATGGTATCAGAGGGGATCTCTCACAGGTTTTTTTGGTTTTTTGTTTTTTTAATTTGAGAGGCAAAATGTATATGTATTAAGCAATCCTCAGCAGCAAGCAGTGAAATCACATCTACAAATTTAGCCTATTTTCTTGTTTGCTTAAGACGTTTTATGTTGGCAACACTCTACAAAGTGGCCTGTGGCTACTGTAACAGGGAAGACTTTTCTGACCTGCAAGGGAAGAATGCAGTCTCCCTGCTAAACTGGCAAGTTCTCCAGACCCAGCTGACTCCCGAATCTTCCTAAACGTAACTCAGCCCCAAACATGACCTGGAGGTATCCACACAGGGCCTCAAGCTGTCCCTCCACATCACCTCAGGTAGAAGAGGGCAGAAATTGCAAGTCTGAACCCTCTCATTCTGATACTGATGTTCCCACTGTGTAGAGTAACGAGTTACTTTAAGCAAGTCAATGACGTCTCATGCCCAGTTCCCAAAGCCTGCCCAACTCCCTATCTAGCACCGTAGGCAGGGGTGAGGCACTGTAAGCTAAGGAACGTCCTTCTTGAAATGGCCACCACTGATCATGATAACTGTTATTCAAATGCAATAAATATCCAGTAAGCCGTAATACAGAAAATCCTAACAAGTCGCTAAAATACTATGAGACAGAAAAGATGTTCCAACCAAAAGGACCAAGAGAAGGATCTGATGACTAGAAAGGAATTCAGGAGAAAAATGAGAGTTTAGAAGAAAGTCTGTTTCTTTGGTACCATCTGTGGAATTCACGATCATTATTTCCATTTCCTTAGGCAGGAATAACACCTTATGTAACCAAGGCATTTTTCCACTCGTCATCTCAGCTGACTTACACAATAGCAAGTCTGGCAGGGAGAAGATAATACATCAAGCCAAGCTGGCTTAATGTGGATAGTCTTTCCCCAAATACTGTTTCTCACCCTGCTTATCTGCTCAACAAATGACCTAAGGATCTAGGACCAGGGTTTTTAACTCCTTTTCTGGATCACAGAATCTTCCGAGAAA